AGGAGCTGATACCAAGGGCTCAAGTAGAAAACAAATGTTTTGAGAATGATGATGGCAACAAATGTACAAATGTGCTTGACACCATGGACGGATGTATGGATTGTGATAAGAGTTGTATGAGCCCCTAATAAAATGATTTTTTTCTTAAATTAAGAGGGGGAGAAAATACTGAAAGAGAGAAAAGAAAATGACACAGCTAGTTTTCTTTGCAGAGATACAAATATTTAAAGTTGAGAATGGAAACATGAAACAAATCAATAAATGTAATAGTTTCTTAAAAACTTCAATTCTGATATCAAGGCCAGGTAAAGGAAATAGGTGACACAGTAAGGGGAAGAAAAAAGAGCCATGAAGTGAAAACCCTTTAAGAACACAGACAAAAAAACCCCAGCAGGGAGTAGTCCATTGCTGTTGGCTCAATTTTGACTCATAACAAACCTATAGGTCAGGGTAGAAATGTCTCATAGGATTTCCACAGACAAATATCAAGGTTTAAACTCAGGAGAGGTTGTATTCACTCTGCATGCTGAGCAAATCATCCAAGAAGGCGGACTATGTGAAAATGTGCCGACAGGAACAACCTGAAATATATGCAGATGACACACCTGCCAGCAGAAAGCAAAGACGACGACTTGAAGCATTTACTGATGAAGATCAAAGACTACATCCTTCAATGTGGCTTGTACCTCAACACCAAAAAACACCCAGAAAGCCTCACAACTGGATTAATAAGCAACAGGATAGAGAAAAAGACTGAAATTGTCAAGGATTTAATTTTATTTGGATCCACGGTGTCCATGGAAACTGCAGTTAAGATGAATCGCTTTGGGGAAAATCTGTTGCAAAAGACCTTTCTAAAGTAATAAAAAGCAAAGAGGTCATTTTGAGGGTTGCCTGAAAGGAGCCCTGGCGCTAATTTCAAATAAACAGTGGACAGCTAACTTCAAGGTCATCAGTCCAATCCCACTAATTGTTCTGAGGGAGAAAGAAATATTATCTGCTCCTGTAAAGATTTATAACTTTGGAAACGCTATAGCATTAAGTTCCCAAATTTATTTGGTCTCTAGACCCCTTTTCAGAAAAATATCAGTACCTCCAGGCAATTAAAAAAATGTACTAACGTCCATAATCCAGTATAAAGTTTAGTTATCTCCCTTTGCATGTCCCCTGGATTGGGGCTTTCTACGCCTGTAAAGATTTACAGTCTTAAAAAAAAAAAAAAAGATTTACAGTCTTAGAAATCCACAGGGGCAGTTCTACCCTGTCCTACAGGGTCACTATGAATTGAATCAATGGCAGTGAGTTTGGTTTTTGCTTGGATCATTCCAGTGACCCCAAGGAGTACAGCATCACCCACTCTGGAATGGGACTTGACCCAGTCAAGGTATTTTCAATGGCCTCATCTGTATGTGAAAGTTGTGCAGCGGGTAAGGAAGACAGAAGAACTGGTGCCTTTGGATTACAGTGTTGGTGAAGACCATCACACATGCCATGGGCTTCCAGAAGAAATAATAAACCCTGTCTTGTAAGAATTCAGTCAGACTGCTCCTTAGAAGTGAGAATGGCACAGTAATTTATCTCACATATTTGGGGCATGTTATCAGGAGGGATCAGTCTCTGGAAAAAGATAACATGCTTGGTAGAGAGAGGGTCAGCTAAAAAAGGGGAAGAAGCCCAACCAGATGAAATGACACAGTGACTACAACAGGCTCAAACATACCAATGATTCTGAGGACAATGAAGGACCACAGAGTGGACACAGGGTCATCTGAACCAACCTGAACCAACCACTATTAACTAACAGAACCAACTTGATGGCACTTAACAACAAAACGATCTCTACACAAGCAAATTCACACCTTCTCTGGAAGAGCGACAGGAGGGTTCAAACTACCAACCTTTCATTTAGCAGTCAAAGGTGTAATCACGTAGTTACCAGAACACCTCAAAAAGCAGGGTATTAAAACGAAATGACATTCATATACAGAGGAAGAAAACCCCTCGATAAAAGCTAAGTGCAAACAGAACAAATGGAGGCAAGATTGCTGAGCAGAAAGGAAGGCTGGGGGAAAGCAAAGAGGAGTAGGGTAGGAAGTTGGGGGAAACCAAGAAGAAAGCAGAGCTCTCCTGGGGAGAAAAATACAGAGGACTAAAATAAAATATGTGAACAGCATCGGAATTCATTGTTTCAACTCCTACTAATATTTCTGAAAGTTGGAAATTCCTGAAAACAGTTTTTCTATGCCACCAAAGGAAAAAACTCTAATCGCAAGATGTGAAAAGCCAAGGGAAATGAACGGCCAGGTTAAGAAAATCCCTC